TTCTTCTCTATTTCTCTCTCTAGCCTTCAAGAATAAATTGGTTAAAAAAAAATAATTCTAAAAGAAGCAAAATAAATTTTTTAAAAAAATGAAGATGTCAATCTCCAAAAAGAAGGAGTGAAATATTGTTTTTTTTTTTTTTTTTTTTAATACCATTCTGTTTGTTTTTATTAATTATTAAGGAAGTACAAATAGTGTAATAGCTATTGGCACAGAAAAAGAATCTGACGGGACAAGTTCAATTCCTGCTCCTTCACTTCATGCTAATGCTCTTGGAAAGAAATTGATCCTGACCTGGCATCTTGACTTCAGTCACTTTCTCACTGATGTGATGTGGCTTCCCTTTGTCTTTTCTACAAATATTTTTATGGCAGCTGTTCTGATGAGCTTTTTCCTTAGTACCTACACTACATGAATTCAAGCATGTTACTAGATTGGCAACTAGGTCTCACCATTTTACTACTAAACTATCTAGATGTAACTGTAAGTTCTATTCTAATAGTTTCTTTTCTCGCACTTCTCGGCTGTGGAGCTCTCTTCTGGTTTCTTGCTTCTCTGCCTCCTACAATCTTCAAAAATTTAAATGTAATGTCAGTCATTATCTTTTTTTAAGATTCCTAGGCAGTTTTTTGAATGGTAATAGAGGTTGTTTCCTATTTAGGATTGGGTTTCCGGTTCCTTCTAAAGGCCTTTCATTCTCTCTCATTCCCTGTAGTCCCTTTTGCTTTCGTGCCATTATCATTTTGCTTGGGGTGAAGTCATTAATAAAAAAGAAAAAAAATTCTGTTCTTTTTCCTCACTTTTCCTCAATGAACTCTTATTCTTTTTCACTCCTTGTAACACCCTGCATCCTAGTGACATTAACTCCTTGCTTGGGGTGAAATGATTTTAAAGAAAAAGAAAGAAAGAAAAGAAAACATTGATCAATCTTCTGTCAGCTATGGATTAAATAGCAGGGTAGACTTTGCTCTTTTTGCCTTGGGGCAGCAACCAGTCTTGGAGAAGGAAAACTGAATTCAAAATTGATCTGAAATGAGATGGGCTCCATCAGGCTATCTTGCCCAAGACACACCACTCTTTTTATAGCTGCAATATGTGGTGTTTTTATGATGCTAAGGGGTTACAGAACTCAAGACCTGATCTTTTTATTAATTCAATACTATAAAATTAAGTAACTTTTTTGTTTGTAGTGGAGATTCAGGCTCAGTACACACCTGTGTCTTCTCAAGTAGTTTATAAAAATAACTAAAAAAAAAAAATGTTTGCTAAATATTCTTCACTCTGCTTTTTCTGGGTGTGTGGGGTGGTGCCCATCTCTAACCTGGATAAACAACTCATGCATTTGAAGTGAGCCACAGTTGGAATGTCTGTCATATAACAGGGTGGCCAATAAGATATATTCTGAATATATCTTTTGAAATAACCCCCATTCCACTCCCCATGCTCTTATCATTCTCAACTTTTATTAGTGAACTTAAGAGAGCAGTCTGGTAAAATGTTTACATTCTTTATTACACACTATCAGGTCTTATTAGGCAAGTCAATGCTTTTATAATAAAATTACTAATGTTGGTGTGCTCTGGGTATGACGATAAAGTACACTCGGCAGCAAGGCCTCTGATCAGGAGGTTTTGAGGAACATGGAACCACCTCTTAATTGCTGTTGTTCCCAGAGCCAAAGAAAAACACAACGTGAATGCTTTTCTGCACATTGCAAGCATCTGAGATTTGAAATTTTGCCAACATTTTCCTAGGCATGACTTTTATTGTACCAATAGTGGTGCCGACTTTGTCATTTTGCCAAAATACTTTAGTCCTGGGTATGATGATAAACTATATCCAGCAGCAAGGCCTCCAATCAAAAGATTGAAGATTTTAATGAGTATGGAAACACCTCTTAATTGCTGCTGTTCTCAGGTTCACTCTGACCTGGGGTGGTAGCACCTGTTAGGGCCCTAGCTATGAGAAAATAATCTTTTGATTTTTGTTTAGTGGTTTACTAAGAAAGTATAAAAAATACATTATGGTAAAAATACCAGTAATATAATTATTAAAAAAATGACTGGTAGTAATACATTTTTATAGAAAAATGGCAATCAGTACAGCACTAAAGTATAAAAAATACATTTTTATAGTAAAATTACCAATAATACATTTTATCATCTACAAAACTCTACAGGGTGATTGACAAAAATCCCTATTTTATGTATGAGTGGCCAGCCAGGAGTCCTGACTTAACACCCTGTGACTTTTTTCTTTGGGGGTGGTTAAAGGAGCAAGTCTACTATAGTATACCAAGACTTTGGAAGGGCTGGATGGGCGAATACCATAAGTTATGTCTTCCATACCACAAGAGTTCCTAGTGAAAGCAGCTGACGCAATTCCTGGATGGCTTGAGAAGCTTGTAGTGAAATCTGGTGCCCATACTATATTTTAAATAAGACTTCATGCTAAACACTTTCGTCTTATATCCATTTCTTGTAAAAATTATAGTTAATAAATAAATATTTTAAAATGGTGAGTTACTTTTCAATCACCCTGTATATCTAAAATAAAATGTTTGCCATGAAAGTATAAAATTCTGTACAAAATATTTACATTTTAGCATTAAATAACCCATAGATATACTACTAAACAAAATCAACCCAAACCAAACCAACCAAAATATTTAAACCTTCTTTGTATAAAGGAAACTACTATATTTGGTGCTATGTAAGGCCCTTTTACATTCACTATTATAGTATTAGAGAGTTAGGTACAGGTACTGTAAGTCGATGGTATCTGAGTAAAACTTAGCTTGCTAGATCCTGCAATTGCATCTACAAGACATTGGAGATATTCTGGAGAAAAGGAGAATATTGTTGAAAGACATGATTCTTCTATGTGTTGTGTCCCTTCAGGACGTTGACGATCATGGCTCTCCACAATTTCCTATCCTTTGTAGTTCTTAATAATTTTTGTCCTTTTTCCATCTCTTCTAAACCCTGCTCTGCCATCCATTCACTCAAGCTCGCCAGGTAGGTTGTGCATTGCTTTCCCCTGGCACTCTTACCTTCAGTCTGTCCTGTGAGTATCAAATTTTCCAAGCCCTCTTTCTTCATTATGTGCCCCAGAAATTTAAACCCTCTTCCTGATGTTAAGCATAAATGTACTTTTTGTTGCCATTGTCTCTAGAACTCTGTTGTTGCTCACATGTTTGGTATGTGATATTCTCAGCATCATTCTGTAGAATCATATTTCTGTTGTTTCAAGACTTGTTTCTGCCATAGAGGAGGACTGATACTACATAACCGTTCAGTACTCTTCTTTGTTTCTGACAATATTTTTGTTTGTTCATATTTTGTACTTTCTTCAAAGCAAAAATAATTTTTTCTTATAGCTGTTTCTTTTCTACTTTTTCCCTCATTTTTTTCTTTTGCTCTCAGTTTTTTCTTCTCGTTTTTTTTTCCTTTTTCTTCTCTCTCTCTCTCTCAATTTAGATTTTCTTAAATTCCTTGTATTGTCTTTCTGAAAATCTAAGCATAAATGTATTTCATTTTTCCATACATTTGTTTGGGATCAGTCACTTATTCTTTCATTTACTAAAGGGGAAATGAAAATTAATTATGCTGTTAGTTTTGATTTTTATAAGCAGTTTCATACTTCAGAAATATACTAAAAGATCTGTTTGAGAGTTACAGTTAATCTGCTCATAGTCATTAATATAATTAAATCAATTACTTAGTTTGCTGCTAGGTAAGTTGGTTCAATGTGTCATGCCAGACAGTTTTTCTCACTAGAATCTGTCTTACATATTTATAAATCTACCATTTATCAATGCTTTGAATATTGCTGCCACATATGGTCTGGTGCTTCTGCTATATATTTAGAGATTCTTATGATAAAATCCAAAAGAAGAATCTTCAATGTTATTGTCCCTGACATCTCAGCTTCAGTTACTTTTCATCGCTGTAGTGTAGGTTCTCTGTGCCTTTTCTATAAATGCTTTCATAGTGATTGTTCTGATCATCTTTCCTCTTTTGTACCGAGACTTTATAAAATTGATGCACTAATTGTTTTTATTATTATTATTATTGAATGTGACTAACAAAGAGATATTAGTTTACAAATATACAAAGCCCAATATACCCGTCAAGACACCCAGTCTGGTAAGAGTATATCAGGCATATGCATTACAGCCAGATGTGCACAATATGGTGACAGCTTTTGGTAAAAGCAGTGCATCAACTTGCAGGTTGGCTAACCCTGTCTGTTTACATAGTTTCCAATTGAGGGTTTACCCAAGTATCTAGATGAGACTCCCAGGTTGCTTTGGCTGCCTCAGACTTAAAGAAAAATCACCCCCCCCCCAACCCTCTCAACACCTAGCTATGATGCTCCCCTACTACTTGTGATCATGAAGGGAGGTACACAGTATGTCACACCCTAAGGGGTATCTCTAACTGATTAAAGTTAGGTAATTGATAAGCAAAACTGTAGCACTCAATGAAATATTTATTCTAAATAACAAAACATGGACATATTTATTAATGATATTTGTATTTTGAATAATTAAAATTTGTGTATTTCCTCTTTTAATTTTTACATTTTTATTGCAACAAAGAATTTTGCATTTCGAATACTTATCATTTAGTATAATTGTCCTTTTGATTAATTTTCATTCAAACAATTTACAATTTGAATAATTGTCTTTGGACAATGTTGACACTATCTCTTGTTTAATGTTTAGGATTGGATTCCTGGTTCCTTCTAAAGTCTTCTCTTTCATTTTCATTCATGGTGGCCCCTTGTGTCTTAGTGGCATTATTGCCTTGCTTGTGGTAAATTGATTAAAAAAAAACAAAAACATAATAAACAAAAAATATAGCTTAATTTTTCCAATTAAATGTTCTCTGTCCAACAATAAGACTAACACAATAATTAACATTCTCTTCAAATATTATCCCTTTTTAATTCTATACACATCTCTCTTCATTTTTTTAAAATATTTTTTTCTTTAGGTAATGATTCCTGCAAATGGCTTTTAAGTGATGGACGCTTTCCTGGTTATAGTACCTGGCAGCCTTATGGGTGCATGACGCACAAGTACACCAAGTCGTGAGTATCTACTTTTTCTTTTTCTTTTTTTCTGATCCTCTGTAATCCTGAGGTGAATCCTTCCAAGGATTATTTCAACTTATATTTTCACCTTGGTTATTTTGTCCTTCTTTTTTTTTTTTTGTGTTTGACAATGTTTTCAGCTGATGTATTCTTCAGCCTTTCTTCAAGTGTTTGGTTTTTTTTTTTTTTGTTTTCCTCCTCTCTTCTAGATGGTTCTAAATTAATGCTGACAGAAAAGCAATCCACTAGTCAATGTGACGGAGAAGAAAAATGGATTACATTTTATCTTTTCTAAAATTGAAATTTCTTATGCTAAAAAGATGCAATAGGTTTGAGATCGATAATAAATTCGCTTACTAGAACTTGATTATCAAATAAGCCTTGGCCTTTTAATTACATTTTGATTATATGAATGAATTGGCATGTGAATTACTATGTAATGTTTATGTAATGGCGAACAAGTTTGTTTATAAAATAGATTCTCATGGTCTTTAATTACTTGATCAAAGTTATGGTGTCTTGTAGCCATTTTGATTATTTGAGGAAGGTAAATAGATGCAGTATCTTGCCTAAGCATGACCTGGAACTGTTCATGGCAGAACCAATTTTCATACATTTGATTAATTGGTTATCGCTTCTATCTTTCTACTCTCTTGATCAGGCAGGGAGGGAGAAAAACAGGGTGTGACAAAAGTAATGCCCTCATATTTTTTTTTTTTTTTTTAACTTGAACAAAAATAAATTACAGTGGTTTAAGATGGCTTAAGATTATGTATGGCTTATGCATTCGGGAATAGTTAAATCTTAAATTCAAGCTGAGGTGGATAGGACAATGTGAAGCAATTGAGTGACCATCATCAGACCTAACAGCACCAGAAATTTTCTTGTGGGGATGTACTGAGAGATCTTGTTTATAGGCTCAAACTGAACAAGCAATTTCTGATAACTTTTATGAAATTAATGTAGAAATGAAATGTATCAAATGGTTTGTAGAAGAGTTTTTGATTGGTTTCAATGTCGTATCAAACAAGAAGGGAAGCATTTTGAACATGCTATATAGTTTGTCAATTATAACAAATCATGGTTTAATGTGACAATACGTAGAAATTTTCTTAAACTTCTCTCATTTATTTTTGTTAAATAAAAGTTAATGAAAAAAAGTAACAAAAACAGTTGTTACTTTTTCCGTGCCCTGTATTTTTGGTGTCTTTCTCTCCAATTGTTTCTGTATTCATTCTTTGGCTTTTTATTTCTCAGTTGTCACTCAATATATTGATTATTCTCTCTTGTCTGGTTTTGTCATTCACATGCTATTCAGTAATGATTTTGCAAAAATTCAATGTTTTACTCTGCTTGTCTAAAGTTTAGAACATTATTTACATTCATACTGTCATCATCTTTGACGTTATTATCACAACATATCCTCTGTCGGGCTCTCCAACCTTCTTCAGATATTTGACAATTCAATTAACATTTAGGGAATTTTGAACTGAACCCTTCCTTTAATCTTTGGAGGTAGAGTGTTCATCTTTTGCTGTCCATGTCTAGGGATATCTTGTCTTTTTTGTGATTTTTTTTTTTTTTTTTTTTTAGTACTGCTCAGTTATTGCTGTGGATTAAAGTATCGATTTATGAAATTTATGGTATAGTAATTTTGAGTTCAATCCTCAGTTCAGATTTGGACTCTGTGGAAACAGGGCTAGCAATAACTGAATAAAAAAAAAAAAAAAAAAAAAATTGAAGATATCTCTAGATGTGGACAGCAGAATGAAATAAAGCGTTCACTTTTAAATCCTCTGGTTACCTGAATCAATGGATACCTGAAAAAATGCCGGAGGGCACAACAGCCAAAATGCTATGATAACAACAAAGACATTAATTTGAACATAAATAACGATAACTCTCATTACAGAAAAGCTTATGGGCCACACCACATTGAAATATTAGTTCCCATTTGATCAGCAAAGTAAAGCAACATCAAGCCTGGTTAGTAACTAGATGGGTGACCACTTGTGGGTACCAGAATGTGTGGATGGTTAAATGGACAATGGCTCAGAATTGTTAATTGCAGAGCCAAGTTCTAATTCCTATTGAGTTTGTAATATTCCCTTAGACACAAATACCCTTGGGAAAGGTATGGATCCATCTCTTCTCTCCCAGCTATGGGTTAATTAGTAGGACTTGTATTACTAAAACCATTATTATCTTTCCTTGGCCCCAAAAAACAAAATTGCATAAAAAATGTTTAGATTTCAGCATTAATTAACCCCCTACAGGTTGATATGCTGCTAAGCAAAAACAACCAACCAATTCATCCCAGAAATTGAAGTTTGAAAGTGTCGAATTGGAAATTTTTTTTTTCTCCATATGTCCATTAATTAGCTATTCTTAACATCACAAGAAAAAAAATCACTGTAGTTTGAGAATGAATCAGTTAAAATATTCTGATATTAAGAACACCTGAAAAGAAATTCAATTTTTGATATCTAATGTTTGTGCTGAAAAATTCTTTTGATGCTTAATAAATGTATTAAGCTACTTTTAAAGAGTAAATTTGAATAAAATGATTTGTAATACTCCTTAAAATCTAATAAAATAATTTTGCTGTCACCTAATCTGATTTGTTTATAATATTTTAAAAAAATCACAATCCCATAATCCATTAGGGTTGTTAGGCCACTACAGGCTGGTTTGAATTTAGTTTTTCTTTATCTAGACTAGTTGCGAAACACACCTATAGGGCCCAGTCTGTTTTGCTATTTATTCATGGGGGGGGGAGAATAGATGGATTCATACCTTTCCCATAAGTGAAAATAACAAACTTGATTGGAATTTGAACTCGGCTCTCCAATTTCTCATTCCAAGCCACTATCCATTACAGCACAATGCATCCATAAACTAGAAACTAATTTACTGTTGAAAAATGATGGCAATATTTAAGCAATTTTACATTTTCATTGGTTCTTATTTTCTGCATGTGTAATATAAAGTTTTTATTGATAAAATTAGTTCTAGTGTTACATGTAAGAAAAGACTTTTTTAAATCATTAAAAGTAAAAATATCTATTTAAAGAAAACCAACATGAAACAAGCAGTGTATGAGCAGCCTGGTTTCCCTTACTAATGAAATATTCTATTGTTCTAACACAAGGCTGGT